GCTTCCAAACGGGCCCGGAATTCCAAAAAACATCGCATCCATCCTGCTGCCAACACGTTGGAGCACCGCGCGACCCTTGCGTTCCAGCTCCTCGTGCCGGACAGCGTCGATAAAGGCCCAAGGGGCAAAAAACACCCGGCTTTAGGGAGAGAGAGGTGAGTCGAAGGCAGACTCGCAGCTGGCAGCACGGCTGGCAGCAAGGGAGCGCTCAGAAGTACGGCGGTTGACTAACAACAGGGCAACGAGGGAGGAAAGACCCTCACGGGACCTCCCTGTCGTCGGAAGGGGAGCGGGAGGAGGACTCAAGAGCAGGGCAAGTCTTGCAGCAGTGGGAAGAGGAGACGTGCTCCTCCGGCACGGTGTCGTGGGGACGGAGAAAGAAGGGGAGACAGATTAAACACAAGGTGAAGCCACGGCAAGACCATCAGAAAGCCTAATGAGAAGGGAGCAGAACCAGAGCCGATAACGAAGAGGGCCACCTGACAGAGGACAAAGCTGGAAGAACCTCAGCAAATCCACAAATGTCAGCGAAAACTAAGAAAACGGCTTATTTTCCCTTCACGAGGGAGCAGAACAGCACGAGGACGTCACTCGAAGGGCAAAGGCTTACGATGGCAGGTCTTTGGCAGCTCTCAGCCCCCAGCCTTTCTTCTCAGTGAGGATCACTTCAACATCTGCGTGCTGCTTCTTCTGGAAGCGCCTGTTGGAGCAGTAGTCGCCGTTTGGGCACCTGGAAGAACTAAGGGAAGGAAAAATGGAACCAATCAAATCCCAGCAGAACAACGGCGATAACAGGAACGGCTCAGATGGGAAACAGATACCAAGGAACCGTAATAAATTCAGTGTAAAACCTTCAAACACGTTTGGCTATAAAAAGCAGAACCATCTGACTGTCAACATGCAAATGCAGACCATTTATTTCTGGAAGGAAGACAAAAACAACATTTGGAATGCTAAAGGCGCTGTACTTGTACGCTGTATCATAAAAACGGGAGGAACCGGCTGCTTCTCCCCTCGTTTTATGGGTTCTTCCCCCAAAATACCCCCGTCCCCTACCTCTGCTGCCTGGGCTGTGAAATAAAAAACAAAGGGCAGGGCTTCCGCCAGGTAATTCCTCTCCTTCCACCCCAGCTGGTGACAATCCCTGTGCCGGGGGGGTGAATCCCACTAAGAGCCCTGTCCCCCGCTTCCCGCTCACAGCGGAGCTCCCCTTTCTCTTCGCCTCTTCCAGGAGGGCAAAGGAGACAACAGCCATAGCCTGGAGAGGCTCTGGGGAGGGGAGAAGAAATGAGAGGAAATAAGGATCTCGAGCGGAGCTACATTTGCATTTCTGACTCCCTCCAACCACGCTTAGGATGGACTAGAGCTAAGGCTGAGGAGCAGAAGATTCCAGGCCGGTGTAGCGGGTTTTAACAGGAGGTTACTGAGGTCTAACTTCCCTCAGGAGATCTAAGGTCAGCTCTAACTGCTGCTGTGGAGGCTCTGAAGATCACCCCACAGCAGCCAAGTGCAAACGAGGGCGCACAGGCAGCTGGCTGCCACCGCCCAGGGAAGTCCGGATTATTTTCGGGGCTCCCACGTCATCCGGCAGACCACGCTGCCCGACTCTGGCAGCTCCTGAAACGCTACTTACCACTCGATCATGAGCAGGCGATTGAGGCAGTCTTCTCCACAAGCCACCTCCCCCTGAGCTCGCTCTTCCTTGGAGAGAGGAGGGCATTCGCACAGCATTCGCTTAATATCCCGGTGGGATTTGTTCTTCTTCCTGTTGAAGGCAAGCCACCGGAGCACAGGTTAGGCAGCATCTGGGTCCAGAAATTACTCCTCTCTCTTTATCAGTTGTTACTGGAGGAAATCCATTTCTTCTCTAGAAACTGGACATACGGATTGACTACCTCTGGACAAGCACAGGAAGGTACAGGGGTAACCAAGGACGCTCGGGGTGTTCTGAGCGGGAGGCGATGACTTGCTGATCACAAGATGGTTTCTCAGAAAGACAACCCAGAATATTTAACATTCTCCCTTCTCCTCAACCTCAAAAATCCAACCTTACTTCCAACGTCCACGTGCGCACGCACAGGCGCCTGCACCCCCAGGAAGGACTAAACCCCCTTCATTTTGTTGTACGAGTGAAGAAATCAACTCCCAGAAAATTCAGTCCTGATTTTTCCAGACAGAGGATTTCTCACCACACCGCCCAAGTTCTAAGGTTTACATGAAAAGGACAAACTTTTATTAGCCCTCTCACGAAATTCTATATCCTGTAATCATATGGAATACCACCGAGACCATCTCCAGGGATCCCTTCCAACCTCAGCGATTCTCTAAGAGTCCCCTTGGTTTCGCTGGTCCAAAGGCCAGGAGCAAACCGACATTCTAGGGCATTAACACACAAAGCATTAGGTGAGTGCACGTACCCTTTTAAAATAGCTCTTTTAGTAAAGGAAATTGGAGGGTTTAGCTCCTTAAACCTCCCCTTTACTGTCAAATAAGACAATGAGAAAGAAAACAAGAAAAGCGCAGTTACAGAAAAGGTGGGGCTCAACGGCACCTACTAATTGGTATTTTAGTTGCCATGAGATGATGAGGGAAACGCTTTGGAGCGCGGATGCCAGCAAGACAAAAAAAAAGGCATGAGAAAACACCCTTGGATCGAAATAAATAGCAGGTTTTATCTGCGTATAAACGGTCAATATTCAGACTCTGAATCAAGAATATCTTTTAAAACACATTTGTGAAAAAAAAAAAAAAACAAAACCAAAAAAAAAAGCCATTTTAGCGAACAAAAGGCGTGGCGAAGCCGTGAGGGTTAAGACCTCAACACGGGTTTAAATCGGCCCAGGCGAAGGGTCCCCCCAAGCGAGCACCGCGCTGCTGGGGAGCCCCGGTGCTCGGGACCCGAAGGTTGGGCAGCGACGCCGTTGCTCCCCCAGCCTTGAGGGATCACGGGGTGGAAAAGGACCATGAAGTTAAAACGAAAAGGCGAGATTTTAAACAGGCATAAACCCTCAGAGGGCCTTGCCCCAGCCTGTGCCAGGAATGAGAACCGGTTACAAGCTCATCAGGAGCTCTCACCGACGCGTTAAAGCCAGGGCGAGTGGTTTCTTGGCAAGGACGAGGGTTGTCGAGCCCTGAAGCGATACACTTAATCACCCCCAAAGCTCAGAAACTGATGATTTTCTTTTCCAGGGATCACCTCCTGTTCAACATTCCCATGCAAAAGGGAAAAGGATCATCTGCAGCCAACAGCTACCCTCTGATATTCCAAATTACAGTCTCTCAGATCTCAAAGGCCTCATCTGAGGTGGCAAATAACTAGAGGCAGCAATCAAAGCCTTTGGTTCGGTTGCCCAAAACCTTTCCCACACCCAGATTTCCCTGTGTCTGCAGAGAGGGAGCGAGCTGGCGTTTGGGGATGCTCAACAGGACTTGGCAGCCCCCAGAGGTGATGCCGCTGTGGTGCTGCGGGCTCTGACGGCACCGAGTTCAGGCGAATGATGGACAACAAAGCAAAAAGCTTGGGAAAAAAAAAAAGAATTAATTACTCTTCCAAACTAGCACGGGTGCCAGAACAACATGTTTACTGGGTGCTGCTGCCAGAACCCCACGTGTGCAAGAACTGCCCGGTACCCAAACCAACACTAGACAAAGGGGATGCTGCAAGACGACTGAGAAGATGGTACAAATAAACCATCCTCCCCCCAGACCCTCCCACCTTCCATCTCTTCTCATCACCAGCGCCCGCCTGGGCCCAGTCGGGGTTTTCTAAGGACAAGAGACCCCAGGGGGGTTAAACACTTGCCCAGCGTTGCCTCCTCTACGAGCCGCTTTGCCAGATGTAGGGAACGTGACAGCCCTCCCCCTCCCTCCAAATGATGCCAATTTGGCCGTAAAAAAAAAAAAAAAAAGCTATCACAGTTCAAATCGAAAATTGCTCTAGGCAAGAGAAAAAAAAAAAACCACCAACCAAAGGTAAAAAAGCAGTTACCTTTCGGTCAAGTACACGTTCTCCTCGATAAGGTCAAAGTAACAGGGCATCTTTCCTTGCTTGGCAAACTCCTTCCAGCGCTGGGGGTCTCTGAAGTCATCCATGATACACAACCGACCGACCATGGAGGAGTCCTGCGGCGCCGACTCCACCTGCTCGCCCTCCAGCTTCACCTTCTTCTTCTCCCTCGAGTCCACGTCGCTCTCGGAGTCGCTCTCCAACTCCGGGCGTCTCTTTTTTGGTGGGCCTCGTTCTTTCGCATCGTTTTTCTCCAAAACCTTCACCTCCTCCTTCTTCTCCCCACCAGGCACCAGCTCCTTGGTCGAATTGCTGCTGATCTCGTGCGCCTGCACCGAGCCTTTTTCCTTCTGCCCAGGCGTCTGGCCTTTGCCCGAGGGGCTGGGAAAACGAGCCTTGCAGTCCACCTCCCAGCGGTCATCCTCTTCGTACTCCTCGTGATCCTCCGTTAGAGAATCCGGCACTTGCCCCTGAATTCGGTCGTAACTAACGGCAGAGGGTCGGCTGGCAGACCTCGCATCCCAATAACCATTGCCTTGCCAGTAACCCTGAGAGCCACCGTACACTCCCGAGCCCGGCTGGTAAACGTAGCCCGAGTAGACCCCGAAGCTGCTATCCGGCTGCTGGTACGTGCTACTGGGCTTCTCTGACTGGGTGAAGTCCCAGCTCAAATGACCCAGATCCTCCGTTGCCTGAAAACCATCCAGCCTGGAGAGGTCTCCGAGGCCAGACTGGTTAAGCCCACCCTTCCCTTGCCGACTGTCTGGCTTGGAAGAGCTCATCTGGTGTCGGAATTTATCGGCGCTCTCGAAACTCTCCGGCAGGCAAAACGGCTGCTCGTCTTGTCGGCCGATGGGTCTGCCGACGGCCATCAGCTCCTTCAACGTCAGCCTCTCGTCCGCGTTGGGTTTGCCGTGGGAGTCCGCCGTCAGGGCCGCC